GGCTTTGGTTCTTTTTGTCTTCTTTTATTTTGCCTGTACCCAGTTGTTTGCCAGTTACAGGCTTCTGCTTCAACTCTGTGATATGTAAAACACAAAGAAAACCCAGGGAACATACCACAGTATTATGCTTAGGTCCCAGTGGCCCTAGGAAGACTGTCTTCCCTCATTCTTCCAAAGTCTTATTGTGGTTATATTTTACGTAAGTTTCTCAATGTTTAGTTGTACTTAATGGAAAGAATAACAAAAAGTATGTCTGCTCCATCTTCCACAATGCGGAAGTCCAACAGCCTCCTTTTGTACAACCCATTATGATAACCCACACACAGTACATTTCTAAAGCAGGTTTCCTACAGGCTCAATTAAGAGACCTACAGGGGCCAGGGATTTAGCTCAGTGGTTCCACTACCTGCCTCGCAAGAGCAAGGCCCGGAGTTCAATCCCTGGTACCCCGACCCCCCAAAAAAAGAGACCTACAGAATTTCTTTGATACATGACCATGCAAAAATACACGGGAGAAATAGGTCTTATAGACATAAAAAGCCAGCAGCTAGCAAGGAAATGGTTGTCTCTGGAGTAATCATCTGATGCATCTTGTATACCAGCAAAAGAGAGCCACTGAGCTAATGTACTATGCAGGAGACTCCAACAAAGCCCTCAATTCCTTGGCCTATTATTTCTACTGTTGTAACTTTATTCCTTGACCATCAAGACCTGAGACATCCTTCCAGTCCTTATGTGGCAGTTAGGGTTCAGTGCCAACTTGAATGGCTTTGGAATCCACCCTGAAGACTGGGGATTGTTGCAGCCACTTCTAGGTGTGTCTAGGTGGGCCATGGATGCATGACCTTGGGATCTACATCTGGTCTCTCACTCCTTACTCCTGACACCGTTCCCTCACTCTGCTTCCAGCTGCCGTGAACTAAGGAGCTTCATTCCACTCCACCTTTCCATAAAGATGTTTCTGTGTTGGAGCCAGCCAACCATGGACTGGATCCCCTTGAAACGTTAGCCAGATCAAACTTCTCCTTTAAATTGTGGTGTTGGGTATTGTGTACCAGACACAGGAAGGTTGACTAATGCCAGGGACAGATGGGAAGGAAGCAGAAGAGAAATGATTGAGCTCATATTTCATCCGTGGTCTTCCATCATCGGGCTGGAGGATGACGGCATGGTGAGCTACAGCATTTAAGGAGCTCTTCCAGAGTTTAGGTGACACAGCTGTCTGTCTTAGTCACTGTCCTTGTGTCTGGGACACAATACCTGACAGCTTAAAGGGGGAGAGGTTTATTTTGGTTCCACATTTCAGTCTATGGTCAGCCAGCTCCAAAGAAAAAATAGGACGGCAGAGGGGCAAGGAAGAAGAAAAAAAGCTGAATTCTAGGCAGATAGGAAGCAAGGGGGAGAGATGGAGGTAGGAAGGGAGATATAACCTTCCAGGTCACACTCCTAGTGACCTATCTCTTCTAACCAGGCACCCCCTCCTAACAACACATTCAGCTATTGGTGCCACGGGCCAGCCTCTTCTAAAAGTCCCGCCTATGAGCAATCAGGCCCTCAGGGGACCTCTACATATAAACTATAGCAATGTCTTCACTGTGTGTGTGTTTTCAGTCTATGGTCAGCCAGCTCCAAAGAAAAAATAGGACGGCAGAGGGGCAAGGAAGAAGAAAAAAAGCTGAATTCTAGGCAGATAGGAAGCAAGGGGGAGAGATGGAGGTAGGAAGGGAGATATAACCTTCCAGGTCACACTCCTAGTGACCTATCTCTTCTAACCAGGCACCCCCTCCTAACAACACATTCAGCTATTGGTGCCACGGGCCAGCCTCTTCTAAAAGTCCCGCCTATGAGCAATCAGGCCCTCAGGGGACCTCTACATATAAACTATAGCAATGTCTTCACTCTGTGTGTGTGTGTGGGTGTGTGTGTGTGTGTGGGTGTGTGTTACCGGGAGTTGAACGCAGGGCCATCACCCTGAGGTACCTCCATAGCCTTTTCTTATTTTTATTTTAAGACAAATAAAGGGACTAAGTCACTAAGTTGCTTATCTGTGCCTTGAACTTGGGATCCTCTTGCCTCAGCCTCCCAGAGTGCTGGGATCACAGGCATGTACCACCATTCCTGGCTGATGACATGGCTTCTCTAGGAATACCCATAACAAATGTTTTAAAAATTGATAGGGAATTAGAGATGAGGAAACAATGTGGATGATACAAATTATCTTGACTATTGTATTTAGAATTTATTCTTCTGCACCCTAAGATTCAATGTGTTTCTATGCCATCTATCTCTCAGATATATATGCTTACTGTGTATGAAGAATGCAGATTCTGGTCAGAGGTCAGGGTGAGGACAGGAGTTTTCCTATCCAGCAAGCTCCCAGGGGATGCAGATGCCAAAGGCCTGAGGCTGAGGTTCTGTGATCTCCAGCTGCAGTGTTGCAGCAAACTCTGACCGGTCTGCAGATTCCAGCCCAAGCCCAGCCCACAGCCACAGTGACCTCTCCAACATACAAATTCCAACACTTCCCTGCACAAATTCTTCCTCTTTGCCCAGACTTTTCCCTGATTTCTATTATTAGATCTAATTGAGGGAATTAATGTAGCTGCAACTATTTTAACTGTATCTCATCACATTGTTTTACACACCAAAAATGCTTAAAACTCAAGTATTAGACTGAATGGAAAAGATAGGAACATTCAGGAAGTAGATGCCTCTAAGGGTCTAAATTTTATATTTCAGATCTCAATGTTAATGATGAAATTGATTAGGTCAACCAATTGAACTACCATATATTTTGAATCTGTCTAGTGACTAAAGAATCATATTAGGCTCACAGTTCTGTTTAAATTCCATCTTACCTAAGCAAGAGAGAACACATATTTTATGTTTGAAATGTCAGGCCCTGACCAGTTGCTACCTATTTTTACAAAACATCTAAAAAATATAAGCACAAACTGCAGTAAAATGTGCAAATAAGGAAAGAATGGAAGGTGAATAAGAGAGGAGCTAAATGTGAAATAACCTTGTGACAGACTCATTCTAGAAAGATTTTTAGCATGTGAGGTGTTTGTGGACATGTCCCAGTAAGTTCATTTTTCTGAAAGGAACTTGCTCTGGAGATTGTACAATGCATTGTCTTTTAAAAATAAAAATGAAATCTTCTCAAGATTAAAAGAGGTATACAAAAAAATCTATCTGGTCAATGTGTTTTATCACATAAGAACATAATCATCCATTGTATTCTCACATTTTTCTTTGACTATGATTTTCTTAACTAAAGATTTTATTTTACATTCCAAGGAAGACAGGCAAAATGAGAGCAATAGGATCCAGCTGTCTTTGTTTCCTCGTTCCTAACTCTCCCCTATCTAGCTCAGGGCTCTGTGTAGGAAGATAAAGCCACTGCTATCAAGGTATCTAAAAGGTCACCCTTGGGAACCCACCTGCCTCCCTCCTGAAAACAATGCTCACTTTGTCCTTGCTGCATTCACGGCTCACAGGGCCAAGCTGGCCAGGTCCTGCTGCTCAGACTTGCTTCCTCAGATGAAAGAAAGAGCAACGAGAAACAGTGGAAGCTGGAGGTAGGGAGTGATTCAGTGCAGCAAAGACACTTTATGTGGTGTGTGTGTGAAAGAGTATTCAGTGTTTCATGTGTTGGATTTAGTTTCAGCTTACATGTGAGAGAGACCTACCATTTAAGGCTTTTCTTTGGGCACAAGCACTCTTGGCCATGTTTGTTTCATCTCTGCTGCAGCCGGAGACTTGAGTACTGTGCTCCTAAAGGAAATCAAAGCCAGGCTGAGCTGGCAGAGACAGGGGTAGGGGTGCCTCTCTCCTACAGGATCACGACCTCTGGGAAAGCAGTCTCAGGGAAGACTAGGACTCTCACTTTAAATCTCTGCAGTAACAAAATGAGGACAAGGGCAAGAGGAGAGCCTGTGTGGCGGTGGTATGTCCTGTTGGTCCCAGGGTCACAGGACCACAGCATTCAGCCCGGAGGGACACCATCAGGCCAGACTTGGTCCCTGACCTCAGAGGCAAGTGTATCACCTCACTGAGGAGTGTGTTCCCTTACAGGAGAGTGTGTCACCTCACAGGAGACTGTCGCCTCACAGGTGAATGTCACCTCAGGAAAGCGTGTGGAGGATCGTGTCATCTCACTAGGGAGTGTGTTATCTCATGGAGGAGTGTGTCACCTCAGGGAGTGTGTCACCTCACTAGGAAATGTGTCACCTCACAGAGAAGTGTGCTACCTCACAGGGTAGTTGTCACCTCATGGGAGATTGTATCAACTCAAATGACTGTGACACCTTAGGAGAATGTGTCATCTTACAAGAGACTGTGTCACTTCAGGTGAGTGTGTTGCCTCACGGGGGAGTGTGTCACAAGAGAGTGTATCACCTCAGGTGAGTGTATCACCTCACAGGGTAGTGTGTACCTCAGGAGGGGAGTGTGTCATCACATAGATGAGCATATCACCTCACGAGGGAGTGTGTCTCTTCCTCAGGGGAGTGTGTCACCTCATAGGGTAGTGTGTTACCTCAGGGAAGTGTGTCCCTCACTGGGGGAGTGTGTCACCACACATGTGAGTGTATCACGTCAGGGGAGAGTATCACCTCATTGGGTAGTGTGTTACTACACAAGTAAGTGTATCACTTCAGAGGAGTGTGGCACCTCTGGGAAGTGCGTCACCTCGCTGGGGACTGTCACTTGCTGAGAAGTATACAGGCTGCAAGGGACAGGGACCCAGGAGTCTGTGCTGGTCATCCCCAGTTGTTACACTTAGCCAAGGCCTCCTTGTTCTCCGCTTCCCCCACCTGGCCCGTGTCACTTGTGTCTGTCACTTGGTCACTTGTCCCCGCCCTGCTCTCCAGGTCACAGCGCTCCGTCTCCGCCCCATTGCCCGGGTGGACGTGGAGGCCACTCCTGCTGGTTCCCGCAAGGCCACCACGAGTCACCGCCCCTCAAGCCCCGAATCGAATCGCAAGCCTCACCCGTTTCACCTGACTGTGGGCGTCTGCACTGACACGTGGCTTTGGCACCACCTGGCTCGCACTGAGGAGCCAGGAACTGTGAAAGAGTGGATGGCTGTTGGAGGAAGATGACTCGAGTCGTCGTCAACAGCCATGGGCACCTATCTGGGCCCGGACCTCGCGGGGTCGCACAGCCTGGGCGCTCTGAGGATCAGGAAAGACTCGACTAGAAGTGGACCCCAGGAAAATAGCGCTGCCACCTGGGCCTCGCCCACGGGCGTCGCGCTAGGTGGGCGCTGGTGTGGGCGGGGCGAGGCCCTGAGAGG